AGAGTTGAGCCAGCCATACACAGCTTAACAAAACAATGTGGATGGAGGAATCTCCCTTGGCACCTAGTGTATTCTGACAGCAGGTGTTCACGGCTGTTAGAATACCCCGACAGTGACTGCAACTGATAGGCTGCAATCAGTGTTCTGCCGGCAATTTTTCACCCAGCTCCTTCAGTTTTTCGATCGAGGTTTATTTAGCAGGGTGGTGCCACTATGGCCACTGATGGATTGAATTTTTATCGGATTCAGCAGTATTTTTTTTATTTATTATTGGTATTTATATAGCGACGACAATTTACACGGCACTTTACATATTTGCACATTCACATCAGTCCCTGACCTGAAGGAGCTTACAATCTAAGGTCCCTATCTCAGATGCATACATAGAGGGCCAACTTAGAGAGGAGCCAATTAACCTTCCATCATGTCTTTGGAGTGTGGGAGGAAACTGGAGTACCCGCAAACATGCAAACTCCTTGCAGATAGTGACCAGGCCGGGATCTGAACCAGTGCTGCAAGGCAGAAGCGCTAAAAAAAATGTATGTTACTTTAATTTTTAAACACTTTTTTTTTGTACACTAACCCTATTGGTATTACATAGGGGACTAACAAGCACCCTGTCTAATAGCAGATAGGGTGTGACAGGTCCTCTTTATGGAGGCATCAGGGGTCTTTTAGGGGCCACCTAGAGACCCCAAACAAGCAGAGGAAGCCGAGATCTGCTTTCCCAGCTTCTTGTCCTGGCTCTAAGAGCCGGAGACTGTGTACAGTGACACCGGAAGTGATGTAATACACAGCACTTCCGCGTCCAGTGATCGGAGGAGAGATCAGCGGCTGGAAGCGGCTGAATCTCTCTCTGATCATTGCGGGGAAACCCACCGACCCAGTGGCCGCTGCGGGGGTACCACACGGTACAAACGATCCGGCGGCTGTTCAGACACCAGATCGATTGTAAGTTACACAGCAATCGCCTGCTGTTAAAAGCGGTACCAAGAGCACGGCTGCCGGAGCAGCCG